ATAGATATATAGATTGTAACACGTTATGAAAGGTTTAGATAAATTATTTTCAATCGTAGTTGTACTAAAGTCAATAAGTAGTATAATATATATTGTTTCTTTATTGTCAGGAGGACCGTGCCTGATGTCTGAGGTGCTCTGAGATACAAAACTTGGGTCTTTATAGTATATTTAAATATTACGAATTTAATTGAAAAACAATAGACAGAAAATTATTAATTTTACGTTAATTTGACAGGAAAATATGAAATACATCCTGTAAATAATACCTTAGTTTTTTAAATCATCTTAGTGTTTTTTGTTCATTTGGCTGGTTCAGTTATAAATAGATATGTGTAGTAAATGCTTTTACAGTTTTTCTCTACTTACTCTGTTAAAAAATCAAATAGCTTTTAGTAAAAAATATTTACTGAAATATTATTGATTTCGTAACATTTTACTTGGTTTTGTCAAGAATCCGGTTTTATATAGTCCATAAGCTATTTCGATATTGAATTACTGTCGAGTCAAAACCCAAGTTTTACTAACAATATATTTGCCTTATCTAACATTTTTTCGGTGTTCTGAAGGAAATCTTCAAAAGAGTAGATACTCCGGAAGAAATTCTGCAAATCACTTCATCTATGCATAAAGTAGATGTGTTGAGTTTTACGTCAATTACGTGCTTGACAAGAACACGAGAGAATGCATATTTGCTTAGACTACTTTATGAGCAGAAACGTTAATAATTTATCTTAACGTGAATCTATAACTGAAAATCTCATGTTGAAAATGATTATTATCTTTGTTAATGCATTAAATGCAGAATATTCCTTTCTTTCAAAAAGTTAAGAAATAATTGAACTATTTACAAGTAACACGAAATTCTTATTCGTTCAGAAAATTTTATCCAGATGAGGCAAAGAAAGCGAATTCTGATTTATTATAACGGACATCTCATTTCGAAAGTAAGCTTTAATAATTACGATGAACATATTGCAATGTAAACCTATTGCCCGCAATATTTCAGTATGCCTATGAGGCTACAAGTTATCTTTCGATCTAAACAACTAGGAAGAAAGGTATATGCATTATAGAATTTAACGCTTCAAATGATGTACATGCATAAATAATTGTAGATGTTAACTTATGAATATGTTACTGAGAATACCGAACTATCAGCTGGCTTCTTCAAAATAGGAATAAATGCTAATCGAATAAATCGATTTATATTGGGGGCACGTAGTTCAATTTGAAAATGCCTTAATTATCTTGTAATTTCTCAGTGTATATAGAGAAAGTTAAAAAGTTGAGCGTAGATTGAAATAGAAGAGGTAGTCAACAGATCAACGCCGAACTGACTATGTAAATAAATGGTCTGCGACATCATTTTGTTAATTGTTTCGAAGATCTTTATTTCTAGATCTATTTACCTGAAAATTGTATAGCTATCTATATATGTATCTTTGTGCACCCCGAGGCAGTGTAATAGTTAGCAATGATTCATATTGTATATACTCATTGGAGATTTTTTTAATTTGTTGTTTTTACCCACCCCCACACACACATAGACACATACGATGATTTGTACGTATGGTGAATATTTAGGATTTTCATTGAGACAATGAGGTATTTTGTTAGATGTAGTAAGAAAGGTTAGTAAGAATGTGTTGTTTGCATGCTTGGGTCAGTGCGTTTGGCTAGCTAAGTTTAAACTTAAGGTAGATAAAGACCGCCCTTTTCCCCATCCCCCTTTTTAGGCCATGTGACACATTTTCTGTATATTTCACAGAAATAAATATTGTAATGATTAGCAAGCTTGTCCCGCTAGATCAGTTACTACTGAAAAGTGAGTTCGATACTCACTACGTGCTCTATACTTTCCGCCTTGTGCCACATCTAAGCTACGCTTGGAAAATCCTTATATGCATCATTCTGCTTTTATGGTTTACTTCTTTACTCATTTCTTTTCATTTTTATCACTATTTCATTTTCTTTCTTACCATTCTGTTAACTTCTCTTTATTTTTTTACCAGCATGCACCATCGACAATTCACGATCTGATTTACATGTTAATTAAATATTATGCGATCCCCTTTCCCGCCCTTTTACTTATTGCAATTAACACTGCTTATTTATTTCTATATGTTATATTCATTGTTCCTTCGCTTTCGCCCTCTAAATCCTTCATTCTACTATTTTTATGCCAGACTTGAAATGTATTCTCCTTAATTTACTCAGATCATTTGCGTCACATTCAGGTCTCTGAGCGTGTGTTTTCTTTTTGTTTTTTTTACTGAGTTTTTCTCGATTTCCTGATCAGTTATTTCTTACATGAAAAAGTAAATATTTAACTTTAGCACAAATTATATTTATTTACTTTGTGTTCTTAATTATATATACGTCTACAATGTAAGTGTTGCCGCTACAAGCACATAAATAGTGCATACGTATGTGTATATATAGATAAATATATGTGTATATATACACACACAGGCACACACACGCACATATATATACATATATATTTAGATAGTGTGTGCGAATGATGTATATACAAAATGCTTTTTTAATCTTTTTCAAGTATTCGCTTTTTTTTATTGAATTTGTTTGAGATTCCACACATTATCAACTATTTTTTGCCCTTTTCAAGCTTTTTTACATTCCGCGATTTCTTTTTCCTTATATCTTTATTTTCCACGTATTAAGTTTATAAAGATTTCGCAAGCAGCTGTTGGTTGCTTTTATGTTTCATCTGATGCTGTCTTTACTTGAAATGTTTTTTTATTTTATATATCTTAACTATTTTCTTTATTTTTATCGTTTCCTACAACTTCATCTACTTCCTTATAGTTACCCACTGATTCAGGTTTTTGCTATTCTCTTTGAAAAGGCCTTATTATCAATGATTATCGTTTTTATTTAGTTCTTTCGAATATATTCCTTGTACACCCCATTTTAGGTTTATTTCTTTTTTGCAAAGGAAAATTTTTGATTCCTTTCGCAAAATGCATGACAACCCAAGTCCATTTTGTGTTCTACAAATAAATAATACTTTACAAATGGATTAGATTAATTTACTTTACAATACGTTTATCTGAATCCTAATTAAATGTTCATTATATTATTAGAGAAATGAATATAAATATGTTATTAATCGTTATGTTACCAAACTAGATTAATCTAGACTTGATGCATTAAAAACTGTGACTTCCCTTTCATCGTTCTGTTTTGTATAGACTAAATGCATATTCAAACAGATGATCTGTTTTTAAACCACACATTGACAAATTTCAATATCATTATTATTTTCGATAAATACTAAAATAATTTATTTTAACATACTTTAAAAATGTTTCGAGAATGTGTAGATCAGATAATTTAAATTTAATCTGGTATCAAAAAATTATTAGAATATGAATTGTTCATTGCTATTTAAAATATGCGTTCTATTTTTGAAATAGAATATTTATGTCCTTAGATCATTTTTGGCCATACAATAAAATGGAAGTAACAAGCAAGAATAGTCAATATGTGATCATCAGAACAAAACCACCAATTAAATGTGGAGGTTTAAGAATTTCGTTTTGATTTTTCCAGATGGTCCTAATAAAAGGTGCGTTGGTGATTAGATTCACTACTGTTATATGATAACAGTTTCAGAATTATCGGTATAAAGCAGGCCTTCAGTGTAAAAAGAAAAATTACCAGCAATGTAAACAATGTCACATCGAAAAAGTACAAAAGTAAATCCGTTTTTTTAAAAGCAGTACTAGAAAAAGGATTCTGAGAAAAATCATGTTCTCATTCACCAGGTAAATAACAAATGATAGAAGAGAAAACACATCTTATTTTTGGAGTTTTTCAAATGATAGACAGATAATTAGCAAAGAAGGCATTTTTGGCACGTGTGTTTCGATAGTGAAAAATAGCAGGACATTTGTGGAAAAACTTCAAGTCAAAATTTTTATTTCCGTTTCATTGATTATATTTAGTAATGCCAAATGAAAGCTAATTAAATTCGAAACAGATTTTTTTTCATATGTTTTATTAAAAATATTCAATTTATCATAGAATTGTTATCCTACTTATAGTTTATTTGTGATATGAGAAATATAAAACTCATCATTCATAAAAAGTATGACGACATAGTTTAATTTAAAACCTTTTTCATTCATTCTTTTGACTCTCGATTTCGATATCACTGTGAGATCTCGAGCATTTACTGTTGTCTATTTCGACTATTTGACATAATGTCCGGAATTTCACTTATTTCGTGCCCAAATTTAAATCTTCTTCATGCCTTTTCATCTCAATGATCAGCTAATAATATATTTGATCTTTCCTACTGCAAGGATTGACGTCTGATCCTAAAACTTGTTTGTGTAAATAAATAATAACATTAAAGTCTTATTCGTATTGTCCAGTCAAGCACATTAGCAGGAAAATAGTTGCGTAAGATTTTCTTGTCAGCTGTACTTACAAGAGACGAAAATGAAAGGTTGTTGTAGCGATACTGAATTGGCTATATATTGTGAAAGGTGGAAGTATGCAATAAAACAGCGTTAGAATTATCCATTTGCAGCGCCTTTTATTAAGACAAGGACACTTTTAGCAGTTCCGCTTGTTGTCACCTGCCGGTTCCCTAAAGACTGAGCCAAAGCGAAAAACTTTTACGTAATGTCCAGGAGGAGGAAAACTGTAGATAGGACTTGAAAACTGTAGTTATGAATAGAATTCCTTCGCCTGAATTATATTTAGAGCAGAATGAACTTTATACATAGTAACAAGTTAATGCTTTATAATATAAGTATGGCTGCTTTTCTTGCATCATAGTGTCAAGATTCGTCTTTTGGTAGCTTCTGAATATATTTGCAAAATAATATAGTTCAAATACTGACACATAGTGATCTACATATATTTGCGTCTATAAGATACACTCAACCCCAATGTGTGAAAAGAATGAGCATGTTGCTTCATTTTCTATGATGAAGTTAATTATGGGCTTAGTGTCGCATCACGTTAAAATACTCGTTCTCGTAGGATCACTAAAGTTAAGTTACGTCGAGCCTGGTAAGTACTAAAATGAGTGACCGCTTGTGAATACCAGGTGTTTTAAGCTTGGATGTGTGGGTGGGGTAATTGATAATTACTTGGAATTGATAATCGAGTTCCAGTTCCGGTTAGGTTCGTTATATTTACTTACATACAAATACCCTTGGAAAAGATATGAAGCCACCTCTTTTCCCCACAAGATATGGGTTAATAAGTAAGACTTGTATCAAACCATTATTATCTCCAAAGTATTTATAAAATATTTAGATCTCGGCATTAAATAACCCATCGCTAAACAAAAGTAACTAACTAAATAAGGAATTTGATGATAGACAATTCGAATTTGGTAGAGCAAGTTTTGAGAGAACCTAAAATATAAATTAGCGATCTTGATCTTTTGGGGAAAGAAGTCTTCAAAAACGTATACCAAATGTGTCTTAAAGATCATAAAGATTTAATTTCTTCATGTGCTTTTAAATTTCAAGAATTATTTATTTTATCTCCGCTGATTCATGATTCAGCAACTGTTTTATATATATAAATTATAAATAGAAATTTATAAATTCAGCAAATGACAAGATTTTCGAAGAACATATTACTTTCTATAATAAAGCTCTAAAAGTTAGTGGCTACAAAACCCCAAAACTAACTTATATAAAAAATGAAAATGGAAAGCATAAAAAAAAAAACGAAGTAGAAAAATAATTTGGTATACGCCCTCATACAACCAAATGGAAAATAACAAATTAGGACAAAAATTCCTCGCATTAATAGTCAAGCATTTTCCTAGTGAAAATAAACTAATTACTATTTATAAAAATACACGAAAATTAAGTTACAGCTGTACTGAAAACTTAGAAAAAATTACTAAGAAGCATAATGCTAATATCTTAAATAAACACTTATACCAGAACCCAAAAATTTTAGACAGCAGAATAAATGAAAATAAAAACTGATGAAGTTGAACAAAAATGATGTGACTGTAGAAACCCTCACAACTGTCCGCTACGAAATAAATGTCGCACAGAATCATTAGTATACCAATGCAATATGTCTTCTATTGAAAATCAAGAAAACATGAAAATCTATATAGGTTGCACAAGCCATGAGTTCAAAAAATGGTTCAACCAACATCAACGTTCATTTAGGATAAATAAATATAGAAATCAAATATCTCTCTCAAAGTACTTCTGGCACCTAAAAGAATCAAATAAAACACCTACAGTAAAATGGAAGTTAATAAGAAAAGGTAGAATATGTAGGTAATTAAATGATCCATGTCCTTTGTGCATATGTGAGAAATTATATATTACTAAGTTTATAAAAAATAAAAGTTTACCGGATCAGAGAAATGAAATAGCTATTTTTGCCGTCATTGTCAAAAATTGTCCTTAAATAATATTTAAAAATATTTTTTTTAAAAATGACTTGTTAATATACATTCTTATATATGATATGCAAAAATAATTTTATATACTGCAATTAATTCTAGTACATTTACTTGTTTTTAAAGTAATATATTCTATTGAAAATTAAAAGTGATATTTAAAATTATAGTTAAATAAAACGTATTCTAACCTAAACATCCCCACAAAAATCTTTAAGTATACAAATAGAAATAATGCCGTAAGAATTTTTTGCCGTTAACAATAAAATTAAAAAAAAAAATGACGACATTGAAAGAGACACACTTAAAGAGGCACACATTGAAAGAGGCACAGATGTCAGAATTCGTTGAAAAATACACCCTTACTATATATATATATATATATATATATATATATATATGCATGCACTGGGTTTTGGGATATTTGATGGTAACTGGTCTGTGAGAATGAAAATTCTGACTTCAAATCCTGCGGAGGGTCGTTTGGGTACCTTTGGACACTTAGTGCACCAGGTGTATTCGGTCCTGCAAAAAGTGTGGATGGTCCTGCACGAAACCTTCACCACTATAATCAAATCTTATGTGCTGTCAGTTGTCGGTTTCCTGTGAACTGATCTGCTTGACCCTCATACGTCGAACATATATATATATTTTATATTTACACACTATCTCTATCTCTGATATTGAGCACTTTATTCCATAAATATAGCACACCTTAAGACTATATATATATATATATATATATATATATATATATATATATATATATATATATATATATATATATATACATGTACTAGTTATATATATATATATATATATATATATATATGTACATGTACTATATATATATATATATATATATATATATATATATATATATATATATATATATATATATATATATATATATATATATATATATATATGCATGTACTAGTCAAATTTGATAAATAACGGTGTTAATCTGCATGCTTGGTCCGGGCTTTGCTTTTCTCGAAACTGCATCAAGCAAATCGAGGTAATAAATAAGATAAATAACACGAGGAATGACTGTACTTATGCATATTGACTTAATGAAAGCAATCGAATGGACATATGTATGAAAGAAGCAATACATTGAAAGAGACACACGTTAAAAGAGACACACATTAAACGAGACACACTTTGAAAGAGACGCATATTTAACAAACACACATTGAAAGACACAATACATTGAAAGAAACACACATTGAAAGAGACACACAGTGAAAGATACACATATTGAAAGAGGCACACATTCAAAAAGGCAATAAATTGGAAGAGGCACACATCGAAAGAGGCACACATTGAAAAAGACACATATTTAACGAGAAACACATTGAAAGAGACACACACTGAAAGAGGCACACATTGAAAGAGACACACTGAAAGAGGCACACATTGAAAGAGGTACATATTGAAGCAGACACACATTTAAAGAGACACACATTGAAAGAGGTAATGCACTGAAAGAAGCACCCATTTGACCAGTTTATGTAATGATGTTAGCATCATTACATAAAGATAAATTGCTTTAAAATAACATATTATAAAATATTATTTTCTTCATGAGATATTAAAAGTTGAACCTCAATAAATCGTGAACGTATGATAATTGTCAAAACTTATCAATGTAGGTAATTATCTCCATACGACTCCTAGGAATTTATCGCAAAATGTCTCTGATACGTCACAGAACCTGAATAAATCTAAGCATTCAGACAATTCTTTTGCTGTCCTCCAAGCACGTGACTCAAGCGCAAATCCCAAATATTTCTGATTCTATCGGGGGAGGAGGAGATGCCCTGACCGCACGTTTTCCCCAATAATATAAAAACACTCCCTCCGCCTTCAGTCGGATAAAGAGTCTTTCGCGTTGATGTTCCTGTCATTTTACGGCGGCCACTTTTTATCTTTCTCTTCCCAACTAACCCTCGTTCATCAAATTCCATCACGCCTTCCTCAATTTATTTGTAAGTTTCATATCAGCGCTTAGATCGTGATAAAATGTCAGTTCGTTTTTAGCCGACGGTAACAAACCTTGATGCGTACATGTATCGACCTAAAGATAATCCAATCTTACTTTTCTCTCTGAGTAGACCTACGACGACGATGATTTCTTATTTGTATGATTTCCTCTTTCTTTTGTTTTCTCTCTATTAATCATTCCTTTCTTGATTCGGTCTGAATTTTACTTTTCTCTCTCGTTTTTCATATTTTTCCACCGATTCATACTTTACAGCTTTTACAGATTCTTCCATTTTTCTTTTGCAGATTCACTTAAACCATATTTCTTCCCTCAATTTTCTCAGTATTTTTTGTGGGTCATGGAGTGTCTTCTTTCATTTTTCATTCTTTTCTCTTTTTCCGGTTATAATCTTCTTTTTACATATTCTTCTCTTCTGTAACTGTCATAATCCATATTCTCTTCGTTTCTTCTTAGTCAGGTATTAATTATTATTATTATTTCTACGAGTGTATCAATTTGCAGCATCTCAACGACCTGCAACTCGGTAAATATTAAAAATATGTTATCAAATTCTTCGTTTTCCTTCATTCCCTATCTTTTCTTCTTTTTTTATTTCCTTTCTTTCGTATTTATCCCTTTTTCCTTTTTTTTTTTCTTTTTTCATCTATCATTCGTGTTCACATTCATTTATCAATTCTTCTTGTTTCCTTATCCTGCTATCACTTTTCATCTTTCTCATTCATCCTCATCTTCGAATTCTTCATCCAATACTGCTTTCTCCCTAACTCTATCACAGTCTTACCAGGCAATACATTCATGTACCAACATTGATTGAAATCTTGGCAAACCAGACCACCATCACTAGCCCAAAAGTTTCGTGAAAGAAGCTGGTAACTCAAGGGCATATGTGAGCCAAATTCCATGTTTGTCGATTCTATCCTGAAGAGAACATGTCTAATTAGTTAGCTAACACGAACTGTGTAAAGAGCATCTGTCCCTTTGCCGGGGCCTACTACCTCCCTATCTGCAAAAGAACATCAGCCGATTTTAAATGATTTGGGATCAGGTGTATTTGCACCATATCAGTAAATACGAATTTTGCCTAAAATATCCAGACGCAATAACTTATTTCTCGATCAACCCTCACTATCACTCTGCATATATTTTTAAATGTCACGGATACTCCTCGCGGGTAACACAAACTTACACGAATACACTTATATTTTTTTCTATGTGCCGTTTCATATATTACGTAGGTGATCATTGTTCTCCACAACTTCCAGTTTTTGTATCTCTCAATATTTATGTCTGCTATCTCTCGTAATCCCTGTTCTGCGAAGCATTTAAACAAATTATTTGGTTAGTGTATTCGCTGCTTTTTTCTACGCCTATGTCTTCTATAGTCCCTTTTAGTGTTGAGTTTTCTATCCTCTGTTTATTCATTATATTCCGTAGAAATTTCAACTGTGTTCACATGATTTTAAGCAGTAGTGTCGTTTTCATTTCCATTTCCCTTAAAATTTCGTAGTTCAGTCCATGCTTTTCTCAACATCCTTCTGTAGAACCATGTTTCTGTTGCTCCAAACCTCTTCTTCATCTCTGACAAAATTTTCCAGCTTTTATTGCCATAATGGTGGATTAATATTTCATAAGTACTCTTTTATTTCTAGAGAAATACGGTCTGGTGTGCATATGAGTGTTGCCGAATATTCACTATCTTTGGGAGCTGTTTTATCATCTATTTTGGCTACGATAATGTTGTTTCCATTTAAAGAACTGTTAGATAATCTACGATTAATTGATTGTGGGATCTGCTTTATTATTGCTGTGCAGTGGTTGGAAGATGTGTGCCTGTAAAATGGTTTGGTTTTGGGCTTTCTCTATGATTTATATGTAACTTAATGTAGATTGAGAGTGACATCTAGGAAATCTACTTCTTTTAAGTTAGGTTTTATGGCTATATCGAATTCCATATTTTTAAAGCGTTTACGATTATCTTTTTTGGGTTTTATCTGTTACAGTTTCTTAGAATTATGAGATAGTCGTCTCTGTGGAGGCCTATATATTTTTATTTATCTTTTCTTTACTTAGTTCGTGTATTAAAGTTAGATATAACAGCACCATGAAAAACTCACATTGTATCGTCGAAGTTTCCTTATTTCTTTAGGCACGCGTTTTTTCGGCAGTGTTAAATGTGTTCTACTTCATTTGTACTTATTTTTAATTGTTCTGGATCTACAGATATGTTCTCATCTATCATAGGTTTGATTATAGAAGGTAGAAAATTCGTAGTTATGTTTCTTTTTAGGCTGGGGTTCCTTTGAAGTTGTCTGCGTTGTTTTTTAATGTAATGAAACTTGTAATTAAGATATGTAATTTATTCGTAGTTTATGACTAATGTTTAGGCGATCTTTTAGCTTCCATATTAATGGGGACTTCTGTAGATCTTGTTGTTTTTCTCTATGATTTAATTATGCTTTTCTTGAGGAATTTGGTGTGTTTTGAAGCTCAGTTCATATGAATTTCTAATAGAGCTTAATTGTTCATTTTACTTATATCTCCTTTTATATTTTTTTTGTTCTGGAAAGCATTTAATGGAACATGAAATTCACTGCACATAAACACATTGGAGTTCACAATTATTTATACTCAAGAATAATTTGAAACATAACCGTTACCGCCCAGCCAATAACCGGCAGAATAATAATACAGACATTACTACACTACATTAAACAGCATATATAAATAGTTGAGTCAAAACTCAACATGCATGATTTGAAGATTGCGTTAAAGCATGGGATAGACTGTCAGCACTTGGTTTTGACCTCAGTGTTCAATTTATATTTATATCTACATATATATATATATATATGTTATTTTATTTTTAAATCGTATACATACATACAAAAACGCAGACACACACACACACATATATATATATATATATGTGTGTGTGTGTGTGTGTGTGTGTGTGATATGACGATCGCTAAAGCGTGAAACCCAGGGTCACAAACTCACATCTATCAACCAAATATATATATTGACTCACACAAACACCCTACATACAATTAAAACATTAAAAATTGAAATGATTAATTATTGCAATAATTGTTACTTGTTCCCAGTCGACCCTGATGAGCTTGGGAACGAAACCGATTGGTCTGTTCTGTAAGTGTTATCATCTCTTATTTTTATTTTTTAATAAATATATAATATATATATATATATATATATATATATATATATATATATATATATATATATGAAGAAATATAGTTTTATGGTATGGTATATTTATGGGATAAAGTGCTCAATATCAGAGATAGATGGAAATATAAAAGAGAATATTGCAGTCAACAATGTATTTCAGCCCTGACAATTGCGTCTAGTATGAAACACCCTGTCGCCTCTGACAGAGAAAATATTTTGTCCTCTTCTTTAGTTAATTACTTTATTCTTTAAGCGTCAGCCATTGACAAAGTTGATTCTAAGAAACAAAATTTTCTTGTTCCTTATTGATTTGAGGAAAGAATAAATATATATATATATATATATATATATATATATATATATATATATATATATATATATACCGCGTGTAACAGCAAAATTGTCCAAATCTTGTAACAGCAAAATTGTCCAATTGTTAGATTAAACTTTCAATCGTTCTATCTTAGAAATAATTAAAGATATCTTAATGGAGTTCTCCGAGGTTTTTATAACACAATCGGTCTATATTGTCAACAATAAGAATGTATTTAGCTCTGAGTTGAAATGATGATCCTTCTTACTATTTTAACTTCCTAATCCCGTTTTCCTGTTCCCTTTTATTAAACCTTATTCACATTCACTTAAGGTTTCTCTTGATGGTGCTTGGATGGAGTTTTAAGATGGAAGTCAGCGTATGATTGTTGGTACATTACCGAATAGTTGAATGATTTTTTCCTCTCACCATTGCTCGGTTTTGAAGACAGTATGTCTGACACAAAATGATTTTAATCAGTTCTCTTTCTAGCTGAATAACTCAAATGCTTTTTTCAGTGATTCTTACGGGAAATGGTGTCAAGATGGCTAAACGCCTGATGTGAAAACCTGTAAAAATTATCTCAATGATTTTAATGTTTTTAGATATTAACTATTTCGTGGGATGGACAATTATCTTATGGTATTACATGATTTGGGCAATTTCTCTGTTGCGCATGGTATATTATACATATCTATATCTATATCTATCTATATATATATATATATATATATATATATATATATATATATATATATATATATATATAGATAGATAGATAGATAGATAGATAGATAATTTATATATTTGTCTTTATTCATGTTACTTTTTCTTTTACATATTTTCTTTTAAGTCAGAAGCTAAGTTTTTTTTTTATTTCCTCCTTTATGGCTTCGCTGATTTTTTTTTCCTACAGTCTGCTGTATAACTTTCGGCTGGTAGTACGTTGTTTGATTATTCTGGATGGGTGATTGCAGGAATACTGTATGTAAATGTGGTAGTCGCTAGGGTTTTGTAACCAACATACACAAAATGCTTTATATATCCCTTGCTAAGAAGTTGCATTGAAACCTGAATGGGCCATTCATTATGAAATGTTGATTTCTATGTCCACACTGTCTGTATCTATAAAAACTCTCTTTCCTATATTCAACAATCTACCGTTAAAACCTATAAATCTTTACTAACATATTTATACTCAGCTACTAGATACTAGTGGAATACCCAAGCGGCATTTACATAAATCTATAGGCATAAAAAATTAAACCTCAATTACTCCATAAAAATATTCGCATTTGAACAAACTAAAATTAATTGAAAAATTCAGAAATAAAAAAGTAGACTCAAAACGCCTTCTTTTCTAAATCAAAAAGATGCATAAGCCATAAAATAAAAGCAATCCACAGAGATAAAACAAAGAATTTACGGCCACAGCATAAAGAAATAGAAAAATGTGAGAAATAACTAACAAACACAATCTATCGCATAACATTTTAGAACTTACGAATGTATAAACAAAGTCAAATAAATTTTACACATCTTCTATAAAAGTAGAAACATATAGACGGAAATGAAGAAGACAACAATTTATTCAAGAAAGACGTATCAAAAACACAGAGAAAAGCAGAAAAACTCAACCAAGTTGATCGCATAAACTGCTTAACTAAAACTGAAGAATTCGTCAGGTATGCAAAGAAAACTTCCGCGCTAATCCGATCTGCAGACTTATAAACATGGCAAAAAGTGAGCCAGAAAAAATGATGTAATCATAACAGATGAAATTAACGCTGAATGTCTTTGTCTAAACCAATAGAAAAATGCAAGATAAGTAACAAATTGCATTTGAAATATGAAAGGCATGAAGAAATGGTTATCAATGACTTATACACATCTATCACTGAAGAAATACTAGATACGACCAATTAGGGCAAGTTGAGTTTTCACTTTGTTTGAAAAATCTACATTGCCCTCATTGTGTAAGCTGGGGTTTTATGTAATGAATACTGCTAGCCAAAATTAGATTCATAAATTTTACCAATTTGGCAATGAAGAGTTCTGTGCGAAGGGTCATAAAACAATTAAGGTTGGTCCAAACGAAATGATGAATTTTAATGTTTTACTGACCCCTGTGCGTTCTTAGATCTGTTTCCATTTTCGTGTGTTTCTGTCAGCATTCCTGTATATATATGCACGCGTATATTTTCCCTCCATATGACATCATTATAGAAGGAAACTCCTACACTTTTGAAAACCCATTTCATTGCCAATTCAAAAAAGACATTCGGATTACTAACACAAAAACAGAGAACGTC